ACTACTTTAAATACACATGGTGTCCAATTTTTTACTGTATTCAATAAGTAAAAATCATAAATTGTAAAAGATTATTATTACAGAAAGGCTACTAAATGAATAAAATTTGTTAGATCATATTTAATAAACCCAAATAAAGTTAATATTTTTTGTATTAGAAACAACGAGTGGAAAATATATTCAAATCAGAATTCTAATTATGAATCACCACAAGCAAAATATGCAATTTTTGTTACTGTATTTAATAAGTAAAAATCATAAATTGTAAAACTAAAAGATTACAGAAAGGCTACCTACATTTTTCAACCGATTTCAACAAAACTTCATTTTTTTTTTAGCAGGTAGTGTTTCTTATTGTCTTGCACACTTTTTTCTTAATTTTTACATTCAGAATGCTTTAAAATTCCATTTACAAGACAATTGTTTATAAAATTATTCTATTCAATCGGGAGACTCATAACGATTGAAAACAATGTTTTTGTTTGAGTTTCGGTTCGACCAATTCGTAAAAAAAAAAAATAATAATTAAGACATGCGTGTCCGTCAACCTTAAACAATAATCTTTGTCAATTTCATTTTTCAGTCTTTATGATGGTCGATACTTGATCTATCTCTTACTGTTATATACCCGGGCAACGCCGGGCTCTACTGCTAGTTATTATTAAGATGGTTTCGGCTCTCGTTTTTGAAACATGAGAACTCTTATGTAGCGAAGGAATCATATTTTTAAACAAAAAAATTATTAATATATATATATATATATATATATATATATATATATATATATATATATATAATCGACAGCAAAATTATTTTTGTTCCGACGAGAGGTTATACCTATATAGCCACGAAACACTAAAGTAAATATGAGTTAAGTGAAAAAAATCTTTTCCAGATTAATTTTATATATCAATAAATACCTGACCCCTCCTGCTATACTCTGCCTTTACAAGAACCAGGTCAGGTAGGAAATGGAGTACCTCTGCCTTATATGGAAACTACACACGGCTCCTCCCCACGTGGGTCGTATGTGGCACAAGGCCGAGTTTACCGTGGGTTCTCCGAGCCCGTAGTCTCGGCCAAAAATATTCCCTTAGAACCCGCATAAACGGGTTCAAGGTCTGTATACCTCCCCGGACGAAACTTTGCCCTTCGTCCGGGTTCCTCTCTGCTCAAGTCAGAGTGTTCGGCAGTAATGAACAATCTATGCGACTGTTAATATTTAACAGCCACCCCTCTCAGGGAGGATGTATGTGGCACAAGGCCGAGTTTATCGTGGATTCTCCGAGCCCGTAGGCTCGGTTAAAATATTCTCTTAGAACCCGAATAAACGGGTTCAGAGCCTGTTTACTTCCCCGGACGAAACTTTACCATTAGGCAAAGGCTCGTCCGGGTTCCTCTCTGCTCAAGGCAGAAAGTTTGACAGTTGAACGGTTTGAAGCACCGTGGAAACTACACAGTCTTCCCTTTTCAGTCTCGACAGAGTCCAAAAGCATCTGAACGTCCTTGTGGGTGATGAAGTACTTTCCCATAGACGAAACGTCACAAGCCTCTGGCGGCCTTGTCGCTATTTCCATGGAAAGTGTTTGGACGGACTACATTCTTTAGTTCCATCAGTTCTAACCTTCACGCCTAAGACCCGCCAGGTCACACAGATTGTAGCGAACCATCCTCATTCACTTCTGTTCCATTGAAGGAGGGAAGGTAGTTAAAATAATAGCGGTGTCAAGGGAAAAACCGTTCTATTGACGCTCCGTTTATTTTATATATTTTTGCGGTCATGATATTTCTTCCTTCTGAACAATATTTGTCTCAGCAAATTTAATATGTGATCGATATTTTCCTATTTGCGTTAAGTCAGCTAGATTTTTAATACAGGATAAAGATATAGAATTGTTTCTGTTGTCTATTTGTTTCATAATGTACCCGAGATTTTCCTTAAAAGACTGAGTAGATTAGGACACAACGTCGGTTTTTAACGTGACGACCCGAGTGTTTCCACTTGGGCCGCTGGTCATAGCTCGTCTAAGTTGGTCAAAGCTTGTCTTAGCTTCTCAAAGCTTGTCTAAGCTAGTCGTAACAGATGTTACGCAACAAAGTGGTTAGGGGGACTCAAAGGAGGAGAAAAGACCTCCGACACGGAACAGATATTACAACAGCAGTATCTACTCCGATTGGAAAAAACCACTACTCTTCTTCTGCCAATCGGGGAAGTGTGGAGCCCCTTGTTGTATAATGCATCATAAATCCGCTCCATCAGGTTAATCTGACCTGACTTGAGCAAATATGCAAATCAAACTCAATACTTTACGAACAAACTAGCAGCATGGCCCGGCATTGCCCGTGCTTGATTCAAAAATCGTACGACTCATACAGCAATCGCTATCACTTGACTTAAAATATTTTTGTCCTCCCTTGCCTTTAAAGGAGTGCCCTTTTCCGTGCTGATGTTGCTATATGCCTTACTACTTGTCTATCTCACACTGCGAATTTTTTTTTT